GAGAATTTTTTCCAAGTTCGCTCGGAAGTTCCACACCACTTTAAAAGTCTCCCGTTTGCACGCTTAAATTAAGGGACTTCCGCAGGATGATAAAGTTATGGAGGGTAGTCGGAATAAGGGCAGCTTAGTGTCTTTTTTTTATCTTCACGAGTTGTAGTTTTGCCAGGCACTGCCGCCTTCTAACTGCCCATTGGCAGCTTTACTCTCCCGACAATACCACTATCACAAAAAATCAAGTCCGAATAAGTGGAATAAAATCGAAGCCAAAAAAAAAGCCCAGCATAGATATTCCGAACTCCAACATATTTTTTGTTTTGCCGGATTTCGCCACTGCAAAGAATTTGCGATCCTTCCAATACAAAATCAACAAAGCTTTATCAGCATCAATGACCAAATTACAAAAAACAGCTGCCACAATACTCCATGTTTCATGGGCGTATTGGAGCACCAGGTCGCGGAAAACGATCACCAGCAATACCTCCGCGTTGCCCAAATCGTGGCGGTGGATTGCGATCTTTACGTGCTTCACGAGAACGATTACGCACAACTTTGCTGTGAATAGCACATGAAACGCAGTAGTGCAATTTGTGATATAATTTCGGCAGCGCATAAGCTGAAAATCATGCTTATGTATAGTTTATTTCGACAGGAGGTTATTGGTTTATTTCCTAAAAGGTATTCACTCGAGACAAGAATGTGCTAGCAAGTAAAACTGCGTAATGGACACGCCATCCTCGTCTTGGTGATGCCCTAAACGTCCGAACTACCAGCCTTTAACGAACAAACAGTTATTTCAATAAAGGGAAAACTATGCTCCTTCTGCTGAACTGATTTTTGCTGAAATCCAGCACAAACGTATCTTGTATTTCAAAATTCATACTATTAAGATCACCAATTTCGTTCGAACCACCGGTATTGAGTCCTCAATTTTATAAAGGTACCAACAACTAAATTCGCCAACGAGAGCACTCCCAAAAACAACAAACAAACAAGTAAAAACGTAAAAATTTGAGGCAAAGCTCGAAAATCCAGATTGGGACATAGCTGGCACCGTTTCAAATTGGGAACCAGAGCAGAAAACTGCTCTTGTGCGAATGCTTGAACTGTTGCGTGCTGAATCACAAGAAATAAAATTCGTTTCGCTTTTGAGCAAGTCAAATGTTTGGTTCTTTT